AGAAGCGAGTATGCTTGTTGTTATTTAGCACCAATATTGAGTCATGCTGGCAGTCGAAGCAGATGATCTCTAGATCTTCTCTCAATCACAGAGTGCTCAGCATATTCTGAAGTTACTCACAGAAGGAAAACACAGAAGGCTCAACAAAACCTCTCCGTACTTTCCCCTTACAGAGTTACTATGATCTTACTGTCAGGTAAGCAAGAAGAGTGAAATACTTTCATGACATAACTGCGTTTCATTTCAAGCTATTCACTAAACAGGAGTCATTTGGGTTGAACATTTTTGTCCTGTTCTCTCCGTCAAAAGGCTAAAACTTCTTCAGTTCTGAAGACATTAACAGAATTACAGAGCTATTAAAAATTCTGCCAGGATACTCCAGATTCTTCAGAAATAAACTAGAAGGCTTCACACTCATACAGTCAGTCACAGTGTGCAGTAACAGCAGCCCAATCACATAAGAAACTCAGCTGAACCACAGCAAGGTTTGCCCATGAAGCCCCATTATAATCCAAGCATATACAGCACGCACAGATCCAAACTATTTCTGTGACGCATTTGAAGAGGTGAAATCACCAAGAGAACTTTCATATTATAAAAATTCCACCCCAACAAATATTTCAAAGTGCTGAAGAGATAACTTCAAATACCAGGAGCACAAACTAAAATCTGTGAGAAAAATAAATGAAAAGCATTTACACTTCAAATAAAATTACAAATGCAGCAGCAACAGCATCTACTGAAACTACAAGGATGTAGTTACATAACCTGACTATGATCAGCCAGATTTCTTGTCTTTCTTATGTCATACAAGAGGTCTTTCTGAACCATCCAGGATGAGCTGAGCTGACTCACCAAAGGACAGCAGCTGGCAAAGCTCCACTCAGGGCTGCAGTGCAGGCAGCTGCTGGAGATTGCCAGGCACTGCCCGGAGGTTTCCTGTACTCATAACCTTCCAGCCACAGCCTGAGGGCAATCCACACATCACCGTGCCTCCATACATCTCTGTGCTTTCCAGATCCTGAGCTGGCTCTCATCCCATTACCTCTTTTTGCATTTGTTCACAGTTTCTTACTTCACCCCACCACAGTGATGTTCAGCCCAGCTTTCATTTTGTACTTCTGCCTTCCTATCCACAGCACCACATCCCACCTGCCTCCAGCAGCTAATACAAAAGACCAAACTAAGTTTGCAGCTCTGCTCTGGACTTTGACCTGAAGTCTACTTCATCCCTCCAGTCCCAGCCAGTGCACAAGTACTCATCCAAGTTTGTAAAACAAGGGCTTAGTATTACAGCAAGACTCTTCAACTTGCAACAATTTTCACCGTGCAGGAAGAGATGCACGTTTCTTGCAAATGAAATTGAGAGAAGCATTCAATGTCAAATGAAGTGGAAATCTACCTCTCCCCTCGTTTTTCTTTTATCTCAAAAGTATATAACTTGCATTTCTACCCAAACAATTATTTGCACGGTTTTCTCATTCAAAAAACACAAATAAGGGATTATAACTAAAGGAAAATCATGTTCTTGGCAGCCCAGCACTCTCCCAGCAAAAATACCCCTTAGTTTTTTCTCTTACCTTGAATGATACTGTCAAAGTATTGAAAACACTGCTAGGAACAGATCTGATATTTCAGATAGTTACAGCAATCACTTTTATTACTTTATTATCACTTTATTAAACCTATATATATGTTTATAAATCTATTTGTAACTTACTTCCCTTCTAATATGGTAAAAATTACAACCTTTTAAACAGCTTTAAAAGGTTTTTTTTTAGGTTGACCTACAGCCAACCCACAGTCAGATGCATTCCTCTCCTTGAGCCAGGCTCAAAGGTTTGGCTCAGATGAGTGACATTAAGGATGAAGAGTATTTTACATAGCATGCTTTGGATAAGGTGTCTTTTGTGAAACACTAGCAGAGGAAGCAGAACATACAATTTTGAAATACAAAGCAAATTTGTGACCATCTTCCCGTAGTACAAGGTGTCAAAAAGCGAACAACGAAACAGTGAAAAACAATAGCCAGGGTGCATGGCTTTTCACATTCACATTGCTCCTCCAGTCAATTGTTGTCCTTCCTTCTAACAAACCTTTCCAAACCAAAGAGAACAAGTCTAGAGTATGCATTTTCCCAGCAAATTTTATGATATACTGCAGTAATAAAACCATGACCTCATAGATTTTTGAGAAATGAAAAAAAAAAATCAGGAATAATGAAAGTGATTCTTCAAATAACCTCTTAATGTGCTATTAGCAACATGGCTAATATCTTTCTAAATAGAAAACTTCTTTGAGCAGGCAGAGTCCTTTTCATCAGTGTGTGACCTCTGAACGGTCCAGACATTACAACATATTTTGTCACTGATAAAAAAATATTTCTCTTTTAAAACTCAATTTTGAAGTTTTCAGACTTTTTGTTTTTAATACAGAAGCACTTTCTGATCCATTTTAGAAAGCATGTTCCGCAGTTAGTGATTCGTAGCACTGTTTAAGTCAGCTCTGGTTTATAACCAAAATTCAATGAAAATGCAATTCAGTGAACAATGGAAAACACAGATGAGTGTAAAAATGGGAGATTACACACAATATTATTGGTGGAAGAAGTATTACAGGTACCAGCCTGCACAGAATCTGTATAAACCACTTGGCCAAAAATGAAATGACAATTAGGATAAACACAACTGACCATCCAATAGCTTTGCAAAAATTAAACATTTAAGATGTTTCTGTGCCTTGCAGCAAATGATTTAATACCTGTTTGCAGCAGGTCCACTTACAGACTGGCATCACAGATAAGCTGCACTGACACAAATTAGGTCAAATTTTGCATAATTTAAAAAAAAAATAGAGATGTAACACTCACTTTGTATTAAATCATTTTAAATATCTATTATGTCTATTTAAAAAAAAAGCCACTATTACATGTTGTCTTGTAATGAAACAAATATCTGAAAAAACACAATGGACAATTGTCTGAAAATAAAAAGAAGAAGGATAGATACCAACGTACTTCTAGGAGAAAGGGACACACTATAGCCCATGTTCTATTTTTTCTGTCCCAATTCACCCACTTGTAGTTAATTATACCTAATAGGCAACTGGTCCATTTTCAAAACAAGCACAAAATACCCATCCCACTCTGATTTGCTTCCATTTCTTTTCACCTTTTACAGATTCCTCTTCCAGCATTTCAAGCTATTTTATTTCCTTTTCCACATCAGTTCCTTGGAGATTACATAGGCTACACTGTGCCTCAGGAAGATCTGCACTCCCTTACACAAGAAATCATTTCACGTCTTTTTTCTTTTAATTTTTTTTTTTAATATAGTAGATATGTTTTCAGAGCAGCACATTATGAGATCAATGGTATTTCCCTCTGCTTACTTCAGTAATTAAACTGCACCAACATCACACAGTTCCTTTAACAGGCCTGTTTCTAAGACAATCTCACTGCATGTTCAAGCTCCTTAACAGGTAATTATTTGCTGCAGCCCAGCCCATTAACCACTGCTTAGCATTCACCACAGAATCAAAGACTAAATTGGTCTTTTCCATCAATACTTTCCTCCACTAATAAGCAGTGTTTAGCATGTTTTGCTTAACTGGAGCTTTTCATTCTTTTTAAACAGCTGTTTTTAGTAAAAAGACAAGAATTTTCACTGGAAACCACTTCTGATAGTGCTTCTGGGAAAAGGTGTGAATGTTACCAAGCACTTTTGATGAGAGCTGTAAAGAAAGACCTCACTTCCTCCTCAGTTTATCTCCTTCAGGAATATGACACGGCTGAGACCATGCTCACCTCTCAGTGAGCGTTACTGACTGCTACTGCTGTCCCCAGCACTCCATCTAGCTGTGAGAAACACAGAGAGGCAACAGGAGGGATGGAAAGAGCAGGGGGTGCAAATAACAGTCCACAGAAGAGCGAGTAACAGTGAGAGCAGAGATGGCAGGGCTCTGAAGTAGTTTTGCATCTCAAATAAGTGTCCCTCCCTCTGTGTAAACAATCTGAGCAGACATCTATAATCTAGGGAAGTCATCCTGCCCCTATACTCGGCATTGGCGAGGCCTCACCTGTATTACTGTGTTCAGTTTTGGGCACCTCAGTACAGAACGGACATTGAGGTGCTGGAGCAGGTCCAAAGAAGGGCAAGAAGGCTGGTGAAGGGCTTGGAGAATATGAGTAGCTGGAGACAGTGAAGGAACTGGGGCTGTTCAGTCTGGGGAAGGGGAGACTCAGAGAAGACCTTATTGCTCTCTTCCAATACCTGAAAGGTGCTTACAGCGAGAGCAGGGCTGGTCTCTTCTCACTAGTGACAAGTGACAGGATGAGGAGAAATGGCCTCAAGATGCACCAGGGTAAGTTTAGGTTGGATCTCAGGAAACATTTCTTTACAAAAAGGGTTGTTAAGCACTGGAATAGGTTCCCCAGGGAGGTGGTTGAGTCACCATCCCTGGATGTGTTTAAGAACCATTTGGATGTGGTGCTCAGGGACATGACTTAGCAGAGGGTTGTTAGTCAGGGTAGAATGGTTGGGTTGTGGTTGGACTCGATCTTTACGGTCTTTTCCAACCTGAGAGATTCTATGATTCTATGATCTATGCCTGCCTTAAATTTTCAGGCCAACAAAACAAAGAGAAGGATTTCTCTGTCAGCAGCATATACTGAGATAGCATAGAGGAACACTGACATGAAATGGAAATACGTATTTATTTCTTAATAAAGAAATTTTAAGAAAATTATTTTCACATTACCTGCTTTAGACTATTACAGACCAAAGATACTTGGCTGTCAAACTGTCTACAAAGAAAAGCATGCTTAAAATATAAATGCAACATTAGATTCACATGTTCATGAAAATCAAAACATACTGAATCACTGAAACTTATTCAGATTTGCTGTACTTCAGAAAAATATGTAACACAACATACACATATAAGCAGGCCTCAGCCACATGCAATAGCAAACTTGTTTTGGATGTTCTGTGCATACTTACAGGTTGAGCAGACCAGCAGTGCTCTCACCACGAGCTCACAGGGTAACTTCCACTTCTGCTCCACTTTGGAGGTGGCAGCTGGAATGAGGATCTCTGCAGGGACGTAGAACTGGATCGAATAGGTCACAAAAATCCCAAAGGAGTACAGAATTTTTACCGATTGATACAACCTGTTCAAAACATTTACATACAATCATGTAAGCTACAAATTCTTCATAAAAAATTAGCTTTCCTTTTTTTTCCTCTCAAAGTATTTTCTATCATTTGACATTTGAGAACTAATTAATAGCTAAGCAGGTAGACTCCTCATATTTTTAATTAGATCCAGGTTCTTTATCTCACATGTATTTCACCCATGAACATTCCACATATTAACAAGCTGTCAGCTCTACCAAAATATAAGCTGGGTAGTACAATATTTTTCTTTCTTTGTAAACTTCATCAAAAATCCCCATAGTCATTAACTAAAAACACAGGTAAAGTGACCAGCATTGTCATCCCTTAGAGTAACATTGATTAATGATTGTGGCTTTTTCTAAAATGGTATGTAAAAAAAAAATACATAACTACAACAATCTTTTCCAAACAGAAGGAAGATGTAGGCAGTGTGCTCCTTAAAAATCTTTTCATGCTGGGCAGAGGGCATCCCATGAAATTTTACTTAGCAAAATTGGAAGGAGTGCTTTCTTAGGCTGGAAAATATTCATAAAGACAATCTGCTTGCAGCCTATAACCTCCTCTTGGAACACAAAGAATACAGAACACCATTAAATTACAATGCCACATCAGGAAAGAGAAAAATTCTAAGGAATTTTGGTGTACAGTTGGGTCAGATATTTTGAGGCTGTCAACCTGTAAGTAGTGGCCACAATACTGAAATATAGGAAAAAACACTGTTTTGTGCCAAAATATCATCTGAATAGGACTTCAAAGATTTTATAATAAAAAAAAAAAAAAGTGTCAACTTCTACAACTCCAAATTGTCCAATCTTACGCCAGTAATGGACTGCCAGAATATGTTACAATATGTTACTATGAAAATTATTCTAATAAAAGAAAATGTTTTGTTTCTTTTTCTCCAAATCAAAATCCCCAGAAATACCTCAAAATATAAGCTTGTATTCAATCCTGTTTGTAAACCTAACAACTAGTCACGAACCTTATATGCTTTTTTGTTTTATTCTAATAAAACAACCATGACATGGACTGGCAAACAGTCACAGACGTAGCGAGGTAACTGCATTTCCCTAAGATGCTCTAAACTCCAGTACAGGGTTCAGTTCCAGAAGAAGAAAACTGCAATGTGATTCCACCCAAATCCGTACTGGAGTTGCTCCTTTTTTAAAGAAACTCATGGTAAAGAATACATATAATCCATCTGTGGATATTATCAAACACAGCACTCATGCAAGCATGAGTGAAGCCAAGCTTCCAATTCAGAGTAACTTTCAAAAATTGGAGAAAGTGTTGAAAAAAAATATAAGATGTTACACATAAATTGAAATAAAACCTTCAGAAAAGGCGGACAGACAACAAAAACACTGCTGTGATATCTACCTTTTTCACAAAATTACAGAATGGCCAGGGTTGATCCTCAAGGATCATGAATCTCCAACCCCCCTGCCACATGCAGGGCCACCAACCTCCCCATGGAATACCAGACCAGGCTTATAATATCCTATAATACTTGTAAGGAACTGTACTCAAAACATACATCAAATGTTCAGCACTAGGAAAGCACTGATTTGGTAAAACCGCACTTAAAAAATATATAGCTAATTGAGATAAAACTATAATGAGACAAAGTAGAAGTTTAGAAAGCACAACCTATTGGGAAAGCTTGTAGATGAGGACTGTTTAATCCTGAATAAGTACCACTGAGGGAAGGCAGAACAAACTCCTTAGATAGCTGAGACTGCTGTAGAGGCTGAAACACTTTGCCATGTTCAAACAAAAGTGATAATACCAGTAGGCTTAAATGGCAGCAAGTGAGTTTTATTTCAATGTTAGGAAAGGCCTTCAAACAGAAGATAAAATGAAATGCTGCCCCAGATAACTGCCTGGGGGATTACAGACTCCATCATTCAGCATTTTGAAGGATGTGCTATACACAAGTCATGGTTTTGTTACACTGGAGTGATTCTGAGCAGAGGAATGAGCTTTAATAGCCCTATCAATCCAGCCTGCAATGCTTCTCCTCTCACATCTACAAGACAGTTCATCAAGTTTTCTTTCGAGTTTTGATGATAACAAAGGAATACTAGAAAAAAAACAATAAGAAGTCAGTAATTTTTATCTGAACAAATTTACAGAAGTAATTACAAGTGTCTATCAGTGGAAAGAAGAAAAATTCACTTCCTTGTGGCTAACAGGAACTAAATTATTGGTATCAAATATTTGACCATCATCACACACAGCTACACCAAGTCTCAAAGGCATATTTTAAAGGGATAGAAAAAACTATTACAACCATTCAACCCCATGTAATTTAGAAGCCACTGCTTTGGTAATACCCTTTTTTGGTTGCTCAGAAGCTTTAAGAAATTCAGACAAAAGAGATGGGCACGTTTCTGTCAGCTGCACCACTGCTCACATTCCATACACTGGGATGTACACAGGGTAGCTAAAAAAAAAGCAAAAAACTTTCCAGCTATCCTCAATTAACCTTTAATCCTCAGTCTTCAGGTCACCCCAAAACTTTACAAAAAATAATATAATAAAATAAAAATAAATTTTAAAAAATAACAAAGCTTCAAGAAGAGGATTCAAAGCTTTAAATACACAGTAGTTCCAAGAATGTGCCTCCACCACACTCATTTTCTCACTCTTCATATTGTTCAATTTAGGAAATAATTTTTTGCATTACTAAATTGAATTCACTGGCAATTTGCTACTACAGTACAACCAGATAAAGATGGTCCATAGGTTACCTTTTAAAAAAATTCTACAACATTGATAGATTCTGGAAGAAGTTAAGAGAAGTGCACCTCTCATCAAGCTGCATTTTGGATTTTGTTGCACCTTTTACTGGAAAAAAAAAATGGGAACCAGTTCCTCTACATAATTCCAAGGACACGAAAATTTATTATTCCAAACCAAATAAATACCAGTATGTAAATGAAGAAAAAAAATGTGATGTACTAAAATAGAATGCTTTGAATTCATAAAGAAGTGGATGTTAAAGATGACAAAAAAAATAAAAAAATTAAAACCTCCATATTTTACTTAGTATGCTGAGCAACAGTTTGCCTTCCAAAACACATTCTAAATTGGAAGTGTAAAACGTCTCTTATCTCGAGGCTCTGACCTGGCCAGGGTAGAAGCAGTCCTTTATTTAAACTGAGCTCAAGGACTTCACTGATCTAGGGCCCACATGTACCTTCTGGACAGCTTTTTTGCACACACATCAAATGAAACTCAGAAAGCAGCAGAATGTCAGTTATTGTTGTCAGTAAAGACAGGGATTGCCCAGCTGAAATTAAACACATTAACCAAATCTCATTGCTCAGCTACAATCCAAGCTCATTTGCACAACCACCTTCTTATAAAAATTTCTCTGCTTCTTGCATTCAACCTACCCACTTATTGGCTTTTATGCGAGGACCAAATAACAAAATACCAACATATGGCTCAGTGGAAATTTGTTTTGATAGCACAATTAATTGCACACATTTGCTCAGCAATAACATTCAAGTAGACCCCAAGCACTGCAAAGCTATAGATAACATCTCGCATCATAACCCATGGGTGTACCCTGAGCTGCTTCTAGTTCTGCCTGCTGCTGGGATACCATCCAGGGTAAGAGGAAAACAGACTATTTGTTATCTCTACATCTGAGCCCTGAGCAGCCACTCTGAGGCTATTAGCTTATAATGTCAATTCCCCACCTTATAGAGCACCAGTTTCCATCTCTTTTATTATCTCTTTCTTTGTATTAGGTCTGTAAAGGCATGAGGATAAATATCATCACATCTGCACTGTAGCCAAGAGCTATTTGAAAATTCATATTTGAATAGCCCTGTTAGGCAGCAGCTAATAAAGTTGATCCTGTTTGCTTCAGTTTCACAAAAAGCAACAGAAAAAGCAAGCAACTTTGCCTTATTCTGCATCCCTCTTCCTCCTTTTAACAGAACTCATCTTAGAGAACAAATGAAATTCAACTTCAACAAAGGACCTCAGAGCTACCATTTAAAAGAAACGTTTCACTAATCTTATCAATGATTAATACCATGTGCTATTGCAAGCAGAAGTAATTTCCCCCTCAGATGCATCATATAGACACAAGGGATACAGTGGTTATTAATGTATGCAAATTCCTAACAAAAGGCCACAATGAAATATTTATTATGAGCAATATGCCTCAAGAAACAGAACCCTGTCAAACAAAGTTTATGCAGTAACACCACACAAACAAAGCAAAAATAACAGATAAATGAGAATTCCTTCATCCTTCATCCTTCATGACACATTTTACTATGCCTCCATGTCTTTATCATTGGAATCAGGCAATTAAGCAGAACTTCAGGCACTGGAATGGACTGCCCAGGGAGGTGGTGGAGTCACCGACCCTGGGGGTGTTCAAGGAAAGGCTGGATGTTGTGTTGAGGGACATGGTTTAGTAGGAGCTATTGGGAATAGGTGAACGGTTGGACTGGGTGATCTTTTAGGTCTTTTCCAACCTTGGTGATTCTAGGATTCCATGATTCTATGAACTTCTGGAAAACATTCAAACTGCACAATGACTTTAATTATCACACAGTCATAGGTGGGTACAGAACTATGAATTCTAAGCGGGTGAAAGTCTTTAGCATTCCTTCAGCACGGGACATGTGGAGGGAAGGGCTTTGAGGTCACATTCACACTTACCATTGGTCCTGTGGTAGGTTCAACGTTATGCTGCCTTTGATTTCATCCCCAAAGCGCAGATACCCAAGAGTGGCTAATGAGATGTACAAGGTCATAACGGTGCCCATGCCAATGTTCAGTGCCAGTGGGAAGCGTGTGGTGTCCTTCATTCTGTTTTCCAATGGGAGTACCTAGAAACACAGGGAGAAAATTCACATTTTATATCCTCACAATAAAACCGTTTTCTCCCTCCTTTCAAAGTTGATTTATGAATTTAAAGAGCTGTTATTAATAAACAAGATTGCTCTACAATAACGTTTTATAGTCTTGAAGCTTTATTGTATACACAGTGGAAATATTCAGTCGATTACTAAAGAGCACCAATCTTGGCTGGAAAACTGCATAATTTTGAATATATAAAACAGTATTTATAGGTTAGTAAAAATGACAAGAGAAACTGATGATGCCCAGATGAAAATGTGTATACAGTACAAGTATCATGATTTTTATATATATTTTTAACAGATTATGCTCAGAATCCAAGAGTTATCTTCCTTTTCCCATTATGATTGCACTGGATGTCTCCATCACAGACAAACCAATCGTGCAAGTGATTTACACACAAGCTGATGTTCAGCAGTCAGCCCTGGCTCTCCCTCGAATCCACGAACATGGGCTGATGCTATTTCTCATTTTGCTAACATTGATATAGCCAGGCATATTGAAAGCTGCTTTTCCTAAATGTAGCATAGGTGCTCTGAGTCTGAACTGTAGCCAAATAAGCTTGCTAAGCTCGTCAGTTCAAAGCTAAGAAACAGGCACTACAAACATTACTGCATCCCTTTTACATGTATTATGTGGGATACAGAAAAACATATGCAGTAATTTTTCAGCCACCAACACAGAATTTCAAAGCAGGGCTCAGGAAATCCAAGTCATAGAATCATAGAATCATAGAATCACCAAGGTTGGAAAAGACCTAAAAGATCACCCAGTCCAACCGTTCACCTATTCCCAATAGCTCCTACTAAACCATGTCCCTCAACACAACATCCAGTCTTTCCTTAAACACCCCCAGGGTCGGTGATTCCACCACCTCCCTGGGCAGTCCATTCCAGTGCCTGACCACCCTTTCTGAAAAGTAATACTTCCTAATGTCATAAAATAACACACACGCTGTAAGTGCCAAATAGTTCTGCTGCTCTCATCTTGAGTTTCATCAGTGTAACAGAGCCTTGGTTGCTATAATGAAGATGCAAACTGAAGGTATGCAGACATTCCTACACAAGCATGCTTTTCTCATATCTTTCTCAAGTCTATACTCATCTCAGGCCACTAATATGGGATATGGTTCAACATTAAGACAGCTGATTTGCTGTGTCTACATGAGTAAAATGCCTGAGCTTCTGTAATAAAGACAGGTAATGAAGTCAGAATAGTCAGTGGAATTAAAAACGCAGCTCAGCTTATCTTCAAGAAGGCAGGTAGCTTACATTCTGCAAATGGTAGGACACTGAATTAAACTAGCTTTTCACTTCTGGTTCCCACTGATATGAGATTTAATACAGGCATCCAGTGCAACAGGGCCACCCTATAAGAGCTACTCTCCTTTTCATAATTTTAAATGCATGAAAATTTACTTTTCAATTTAACAAATACACGTTATGAACAAAACAGGTTTCCTCTAATAAGTAAACAGAAATTATATATGAATTGCTGCCATATTATTTTCTCCGCAGCAATCATTCCTCGTGTTCACCCACTGATACCCACTTCCCGACCTACCACTGAATATCACAACCATTTACTCATCCCATGTTGTATTTCCTCACACAATGGAAATCCTGATGAGATCATTTTAGTTGGGAATGATCTTTAGTTGGGAACAGATCTCTAAAAAGATGCAAACTTGGAGGCAAATTTTTCCAAACTTTCTGTTCATCCCCAATTAATTAAACACATTAACTGAGCATCTTCATACATCTCAGAGCTTCCACTGCTAAATTTTCCCCCACTAAGCACTATGAGCTTGCACTGTAACTGAATCTTGATGAGGAGATGGCAGAATTTAAACCAGGAAGTACTTTAATTATTAAATTAAATTATTAAATGACAGTGGTGTGCAGCAGAAAAAAAAACAAAAGGAGACATGAAGCCACAAATATTAAATTTACTGTCACAGAGGCAAAGACATTCATTCCTCTAAAAGGATTAAGCTTCTGGGACAGTGCAGTGCCCATCAAGTTGTATTTTTGTATTTCACGTGAAGAACTGCCAGGTAGGACAGAAAACACTTCAGATTTTTTTGTCCTGAGTTGGGATTGGATTGTTTTACCCTAACTGCTTATTAAGAACTTTGAAGAATGCAAGTAATTACAGGTTATTTTTCCTGTCCCCTGAGTTTTCCCATTCTTTATTCCTACAAAATATTCTGATACAAAGAATCAACAGGTAGCATTTGAGCCTGCCGATTCGTTGCATACCTGTTCATTCTCTGGTAGTTACAAATGCAACACATTTTCTGCCTACGTTCTAAGATGTTCTACAGCTTCCAGGAGTCCTAGTAAGATTAATAGTTGCATTAAGTTCTTACTCCAACCTATATTAACCCTACAGAACTGCATAGCAATGCTTGCCCAGATTACAGATACAAGGAGTCTTCCAATAAGTTCTCAGGCTGAGAGATTTGATTCCCAGAGTCTTCAACATTCATTTCCCACACTCCTGGCAGAATGAGGGCAGTGAACACAGACACACAGGCTGGGCGTGAAAAATCCAGTGGCTTTCCACTAGGGCTCCTTGTAGGAAAGAGATCCTGGATATTGTTTGTCCCACCAAAGGGCAGCAAAAGCCATCTGTAGAAGACTATTAATGGGAAAAAAAAAATCTTCTGGTGTCACTGTCAGAGGGAGCTCAAATCAAAGACCTATTACTGGTACCACTGGGCCATTCATTATGATGACATTCCTTCAAACAAACAAAAAAAAAAGCCATGCCAATTTCTTGGCAGACTACTCATACAAATTGCAGAAGATAAAGACACTTTGTGGCTGTAGCTTCAATTAAATAGCAAAATTATGTATATTTATAACACACACTGGCTATAATCATACTGAAGAACAATTAAAAAAAAAAAAAAAAGATGTCCATATGACTGCAGAGTGCAAGGTAACAGATCTAATAAGCAATTATTATCAGTAATGATATTTTACACATACACTGTGCTTTACATTAAATTCATCATCATAGGGGTCATAGAATGACTCAGATTGGAAGGGACCTTAAAATCCACCCAGTTCCAACCACCTGCCACGGGCTGGCTGACCCCCATCGGCTCAGGGCGCCAAGGGCCCATCCAACCTGGCCTTGAGCACCTCCAGGGATGGGGCAAACTGCAGAATAGTTTCCACTCCCTTTCCAGAGAACAGAGTAGGAGGAAGATGCCCAAAATGGGTCGGATGCAGACGAGGGCTGAAGGAAGGTGTGACACGAGCTAGGCCTTGTTCTTCCTGTGCCACTTTTGGGCAGCTGCTGCAGAGATTTTCATTCTGAATTTCCTTTCAGTTCCTGTACGGTCCCTGTGGCCTAACATTTTAATTAGCCACAAATTGAGATTGAAATCTTTTTGAAAATGCTTTTGAGTTTCTTTCTTTACTTACTTCTAAAATACTGAAGCTGAACATTTTTTCTTTTTTCCTGGAACCAGGAGTTAATTTCACTCTTCAATTCTTTAAATGATTTTCTTAAAAAGCCAACACCTGAATTAGATGATTGAAGGACACTGAAGGAGAAAACCATATCTCCAATTCCTTCTGTCTGTCCCATTCTTGCATCAGAACAGATTCTCTCAAGACAAATGCTGCTTTAATTTCAGTATCTCATGCCAGGGTTTCAGTGCTTTTGTCCACTCACTCAAACAATATTTCTGCTCTATCAGACAGCATCATTAACCTAGTCCTTCAGATCTATCAACTATCACCACTTATATAACCGTCTCACAATGCAGTGATATGAAGTAGTTTGCTGAGAGAGAACTTTGGGGAATAATTTTGTCTCCCAAGCAAGGTTACTGGAGGCAGAACAGTGGAGACGAGAACCTCAAGATATCAAAAGTTTCAGTGGTTTGGGAGTTGGTCTTCTCCCTGCTTATGATTTACATATTCTCTCTGCTTTCTTCACACTCTTTAGGTCCCAATTCACAGCAGCCCTGTCACAGCCCTAAAAACCTATGAAATTATTTATTTAACCAAAATCTGATAATTTTTCCTAAGTTCTTATTTTCTATCTTTTTTTTCAGTTAATAAATTCTCTTTCTCTGTTTTAGAGAATTTTATCATTTCTGATACACATGTTTTGTTACAGATATCTTGTTTTGAACTTAACGCTTGATTCCTTTAGAGACTATTAACTTCTGGCTTCTTAATTTCCAAGAAAATAACTTTACAACAAATCCACCCCTCCTTAATCCACCAAAAGACTAATTTAAAAGTATCCATATTTTACTGGCAAAGCAGCATAATCTAGTATTGGAAATATCCTGCCTAATCTACAATCATAAATCATGTGAAGTATCTACCCTTTCATTTCAAGCTGCTCACAGTAGCTAGAATCATTCCCCAGAAAGAACACCGCCTCCTCACTACTTGACTTGAATATTCTGGTTGCAATTAGACTTCACCTTTCAGAAGTAAGCTCCAGGGAACTGTCTAATTCTAATTAGAAATCTCAACTGTACATTTTTTATTACCTGACCAAAAATAACAGGAACACGAGAATTCAGCCTGCAGATTATCAGATTGATTTGTCATTGCCATTGAAAACGAATCTTGTCATGGATAGCTCTGTAACAGAGTATGCTTAAATGAAAATGCTCATCTTCCCATCTTTCGTGAACTGCCACAAAAATGACAAGAAGCAATCCTCCCTCCCTTACTCATTTTAAATGGGTATTCCAGGTTAAAAGATAATAGCTCAATGTCCCAGTGGAGACCAGTGATGAGTGGCATTCTTCAGGGATAGATGTTGGGGCTGGCATATTTAACACCACTGTAGTTGACACGTACAGTAGGACCAAGTGCACCATCAGCAAGTTTGCAGATGACACCAAGCTGAGTGGTGTTGTCAATGCACTAGAAGAAAAATATGCCAACAAGAGGGACCTGGACAGGCTTGAAAGCTGGGCCCATGCCAA